TGATTGTAAGATTTCATTTTGTTAAATGGCCTTCACTATGATAAATACCAAAATACAGTTACAAAAGACAAGTAGTTAAAAATCCCTAGTTGACAAAACATCTGTTTTATGCAAACATTTTGCAACTATTACTAGCAAATACGGGAAGGTTCTAAATCCTTTTATTTTTATAATATATTTAATGATCTCACTGAATAACTGTGAAATTGAAATCATGTCAGCACTGGGATTTCAAAGGTTTAGGCCGCCTATCCTTTAGAACAATTTGGACTGGACTATCCAAAGATCTAAGGCAACAGAAAACTTTGGGACACAAAAGTATATCCAAGGCATTTTCTTTTGGTGTGGTATATATACTCATGGATGAAGGAAAGGTTTGTCTCCCCTCTCCATTTTAGAGGTGGGGAGATGCCTCCTTGTCAGTTCACAGGGCACAAAAAGGGTACAGACACAATGTTACCTGATTTTCTTATTGTGCTTAACAGATCAGGAGCATCTTGTAGCTTTCTCACTCCCTTTCCATTTTAGCGCTAACTGGCTCTGTCCACTTGCATATGTTAGCTATTTTGACATATTTAGCCTAACCTGGAGTTTGCACTATTGGTTTCAAAACTGAAAAAGAGTGGAGAATGCCCAGCAAGATGAGAGGAGGAACATGTTTTTGAAAATTAATACTGCATTAAGTCCACCCCACACCTTTCTCAACATTACATTAATTCATCCTGACCCATAAGGCACTGTTAAATTTACCACACCAACATGCTCTTAAAAGGGTAAGTATCTAGAATTTCTCAGCAGATGAGGATGTGATGTTTTGGATGGCCTGACCAAGGTTAGCAACAGATACTGAACAGTAGTGTTAGTTTGAAAAAACAATATTCTTTTTCTGTTTTCATTCTCACCTTAAAAAAAAGTTAAATATGTTCTTGCCAAAACCATTTGGCTTTAAAAAACTTATCAAATGTGGTAGCAATTTCAAGCTCTATTTTGAGGACATACTAATTTAATTAAAACAAATTATCTGTGTTTTATTTTTGTGCTGGAAATACAGTCATTTTTGATTAACATACCAATTTCACATTACATTTATTTGTATACTTTTTGACCTCCCTCTGCTTTGAATAACTACAAATCAAAAGCCTATGACTGGCTGCAAAAAATGTGGAACAAGAGATGGAAACAGGGTATAAATATGTATGGATGCTACTGCAAAAAGGATGAGAAACAGTTGCATGTTAATTTGTACATGTCCCACTCTTGCCAATGTGTTTATCATAATATCATCCACCACATCCAAACATTTTCCTCCCATAAATTGGAAAATTTTAAATAAATAGATCAGATTGAACTGATTGAAGAGCACAGAATCATGTATCTCTGGTTCCCAAATTAAGCTAATATTTCAGGAACATGGATGGAGCTGTTGCATTCAATTGAAGCAGAACCAAACTTTTCCAAATTTATCTTTTAACAAAGTTTACATAAATACATTTTTGCTAGCATGAAATTGTCGATGCTGTTGTCCATGACAAGGAGACAGTGACAAGCAGGCGAATAACTAGTAAAGGAGTGGTTGGTTAGCACTGGATGCAGCCTTAAGGGTGCTACTCATAATTATTTCTGTAACAGTATTTACAATTCTTATTTTCTTTAACCTCACAACTATTCTGTGAGGTAAGTTGGGCTGAGCAATAGTGATATGTCCAAACAAGCTGGATAGGGCTTGAACTTGGGCTTCCCAAACATAAACAAAACACACTGGTTATTGCAGTTTGCACTGTACTGGCCAAGATCACCATGCTTTTACTCATCTGGTCTACTTCCCATCTGAGCTTTTCTTCATGTATCTTTTTCTATATCTATATATTGCAATCCTATATCCAGTTACCTGAAAATAAGCTCCACTTTTCTATAAACTTTTGAGCTTCACAGAATTTCCTTCTACCTCAAGAGTATCTTAATGAAGAACATTTGTGCTGATCTTCTCCCTTCAACGCTAATCTGGGAGGAGGACATGAACTGCTGAGAACCATGGACACTATGCATGCAAACAATAGGCCAGATAAAAATCAGATCATCTCAGTGGAAGTTATCCTATTGATTTTTACATATACATCAGCTCAACCACTTCCCCTCCAAGATTTCTTAGCCTTCCAAAATGACCAATACGTACTGTCACGATAAGGAAGCATAAACAAACAAGTCTGAAGTTTCAGAAGATTCCCTGCATAAATGCCACCAGTGCCTACCCTTAAGTTTTAAAACTGTCTATAAGTAATTTAATCTGAAAGTTTGGATATATTATACAATGTAATTTCACGTCAAACTACAACAGCAATTTGATCAGAGTTTTTTTTAAAAAAAAACTGTGAAGAAATGTGACATATTTAAAAGCCTAGATAAATATATAACTCATGAGCGGAACTATACAGGCTAAATACTTTTGAATAAGTTAGCTATAAGCAAGTACTCTTGACAGTTACAGAACAATGGAAAACTTTTTATTCATTTTTCCCTTTATTTTGTAGCTTGTCTGATATGTAAAAGCACATACATGTGCTTACACAGAGACCCATAAATTTACCACACTAGGACCCTGAATGAGGGAAACACATCCAGCTGCACAACTTACTATTACATCCAAGGCTCCTCTGCTCAGAAAGCCAGGCTGACATTGCTGATAGAGATACAGGAGGCAAAAGGGGTATCATTTCTCTCCCCGGTCTTAGCTGCTCAGGAACAGCCATGCCCATCACAATATACAAAGATTTTTATCAGCAATTTCCACCTGAGAAATGAGGGAATCTAACCCACTCTTTCCCCCAGTCCTAGCAGGCTTTTGCACTATGTCGTCTTCTTTGGATCAGGGTAGCTAAAATCTGACTGACCAAAAAAGTGGAAGCAAGGGGGTTATGACTATACTGCTTTATAACTCTTCTAGTCCCCCAGGGGCTAAGATGCTATCCCTGACAATGCAGGTGGGATCTTACAATGCTATAACATCAATCTCTTTGACCACCAACACAGTTAGGAGGAATATTAATGCTTTGCTAGCCTGAAATCTACTTGGCACATTCCTTTAAAATTCTGATAAAATATTGGATGGTTGCCGCAAAGTTTTTCTTGTGTACCTTCAACATGGATTTTATTATACACTGTCCAAAGTGCTACAATTATGGTAATTGGAGGTACTGAAGAAAAGCTTTACAGCATTTGGCAATGAAAGTGAAATCTCAACTAACAAAGGTCCACCTGAATTGTGCCCTTGACATCACTGGGCTTGGGATTCTACCAAGAGGGGTGACCAAGAATGTTTCTCATTCCCTCATGAATGTTCACAGCACTGACAAATGCTTCTACTTTTAAGAGTTCTTTCAAACTGGGCAGTCCCCAGGTTTTTACATGTGTGGGTTCATGTGAGTTCACTGGTGAATGTGTATAAATAAACACCAGTGGTTATTCTCAATCACATGGAGAATGTGCATACATGGACAACATGGAGTTTTCACTCAACTACAACATAAGCAATCAGTAATGGGTAGAAGTGAATGTAGATTAATCAGAGATGTTTTATATATTTCCCAATTAATATTCATAGCTGCCATTTAAAGCTTGTACATTACTCTGGTGATGTCATAATCTGCATTTGGGGAATACGTACATTGACAAGCCAATGTACAAATCACCTAACTGACATTTTCCATTTCTGCACATTCTGCAAAGTTGCTTGGAAACTATGCCTGCCAGTCATGTAACGTGCAAGATTTCCTGCTCTTGCTGTCACTTTGTGCACATCCTCCATACTTCATTTCAGATGAAGATAATGTGTGCAATCACCAGTGTTCATGGGCCCACCAACTATTCAGCTGATATTATCAACAACATGTATACATTTAAACTATCCAATAGTCATGGGATATTGCTGTGATGAGGCTGGAAAGCAGGTCTGAGAAGGGTACAAAGCAGGATTTATGCTGGAGAGTGCATTCCTTCCATATAGAGTGGTATCAATTTAAATAGGTTTCCTCTACTTGGAAAAGGAAAACATTTAACATACTGTGCTTAGCACACAACATTCATTGTTTCTTAAGAACATTAAAAGTGTAGCCTGAAGTGCTTAAACTGTATATATACACACATATACAAATATAACTCCCCCCCCCCTTAGAGGAAGTTGTTATCTATCAGTGTGCAGCTGCTGTACCTCTGAAGGATTCACAACTCAACGAATCCCAGGTCAAAATGCTCTGGATAGTTTAGGGATGTTTGAAATGCACAGCCAAATTTGGATTTTCACTTTTGTGTTCAGGACACTAAACTGATTCCTCTAATCACTGTCCACAGCATCCTAAATGCAACCTGTCACGGTGATGACCCTGAAGCCAGATCCTAACCTATGAACACATGAGCTAAAACAGACTGTTTTAGAGGCTCACACAAGTGTCTTTGGTGTATACATCTATTCTTTTAAAGGTATAAAATAATTATTATTATAACAACGTTCCCTTCCCCCACCCCACCCCCCAAAATACTTGTTAAATAAGGATTAAACAGATTGAACATTTTTGTAGTGCAAATAGTAAACATTTTTTTAAAAAAACTTTTTTTCTCTTTTTTTAAAAAACAAAATATAGAAATGTTTGGCTCCAGTAGCTGGACAAACATGTTCCTTTCAAGTATCTCTCACTGAAGAAAACAATATTAAGCATGTTACTTTCATTTTTTTTAAAATCTGGGTATTTTTTTTCCTCTCTCTCTCAGGTAAACAGTTTCAAACCAACTTGGTTGCATAGTTCTAATGTCATAAGCACCTTTATGAAATGTAACTTTGTAGTTTCTTTCTTTCTTTATAATTTTTAATTTTTTTTGCAAAAATAGTGCAGAAGAGAAAGGTGAGTACACCTGCGCATTATTGTCCCTTTTACCAATATATATATATACATATACATACATATACATACATGTATATATATATATATACAACCGCACACATGCACACACACACACACGCACGCACACACACACGTGTGCTCTCTGTGTGATACACCATAAGAAACCTGCACACATATATATGTGCGCACGCACACACACACACACACAAACACACTGCGTCCATGGTAAACTGACAGGATTAAAAGTGCCAGTGAATGTAGTGTTCATACACATGGCTATTCTAGGAATTTTAATACCATTATGGATTTAGCATCCAAATTGCTGCATCTTAGGTGAGCCACTATCAGGGCTTGAATGCATAGGTAATATAAGGAAGGAAGACATACCTCCCTTTGTGACTGACAAGTGTGAAAATACTATGTAATAAAAATAGGGAGCATATAGGATATGCCCTTGCCCACACTATTTGAATGTTTCTCATCCAAGCCCTGGTGATCACCTTTCTTCTTTCCTTTCTTTACCTCAGATTTGAACATTGGATGCACTGAATTTAGATGTGTGATTGTTTTGCTCAAAAAGGAGGAGCCAACTTGGTCTTTCCTGTTACATTATATTTTAAATTGTCTTCTTGAAATTGGTAGAAAGGCAGTCCCTAAGAAGTACAGGTGTGCATCATGCACACACACACACACCTATGAACATCCACATTCCTCCACTATCATGTTCTGGATGTCTTTTTTGATTATATTCTGCCCATCATCATAATAGAGCATAGACATGGGCCGCAGCTTGGTGGGTACACAACATGACTTGAGGTTGGAGAAAGGACTGTGGCCCCTCATGCGGTAGTGGTTGATAACGGTGGAGTGGAAAGAGAGGGTTGAGCCAGATGTGCCGGCAATATGGCTGGGGCAGTCTCCTTCACAGTAGTTGGCATGGTAACCTGTTGGGGCAATGATCCAATCATTCCAGCCAATGTCTTTGAAGCTAACAAAGAAGTTCTTCTTGCAGCAGATGTTGACTTTGCCATCACACTCAAGACCCCGTCTGCGTCGTCTGTGCTGGCGATCTTCTGAATGTCTGGCAAGCATCATCAGGAAAGGCCTGTGTGATTGTTCTTTCTCTTCTTCTCCTACACTTTCATTGCCTTCCTTTTCCTTTCCTTCCACATCTTCTTCCTTTTTTTTCCTCTTACCCAGGAGCACCAGACTGGCTCCAGTTTCTTGACATTGGTCACAAGCAATCCGCACATCCAGTGAATTCTTTCCCTGATCAAGGAGGCGCTGAACACTGCTGGAGACCGGGAAAATGTGCCAGGTACTTTTACGAGTGTCGACTGCCTTTTCAGAAATGAGAATTTCACCTTTCTCTCCCTTCATATTGCCATCCTCTTCCGTTCCTTGGGAGTTTCGTTTCAGCAGTTTCTGTTGCTGATACAGCCGGATGGTCACCTTAGTCCTGGTCCTATTGGCTTTAGAGACTTTCAGGAAGAGCCACACATCAGCCTGGGCCACGACTGAGAGCTCACTGCCTTCCTTGGAAATCTCAAAATGCAGCATTTTCTTGGCAGGACCTATTGTGTGAAAAATAGAGGTATGGGGAAAAACAGTTAGCAATGACAGTGCACATACATTTCTCAAATTAAAACAAACATACAGAGGCACGCTATGGCAGAAACAATGCCTATTAAAATGATCGGTTTGATCCTTTGCTGAAATTTCTCTGCTGCTGTTGCTGACTTTGGGTATAAATAATAGGGTCAATTAAAATGGAGCACTTAAAGCATGGAAAAATTACTTTAGTGAGATTCCGCAACCCTTGTCTTGTTGAAAGGGTTTGTGATCCAGACTTTCTTCTTGGCCATAGCTTCTTTGCATGCAAATGTTGGTTTTGTCATAAATTATAAGAATGTTTCACACATGCAGAACATTGCACAAATGTGGCAGCAGGGGGAAGACTTGTATATCACGTGTCTTGCTTAAATGGGCCTCAGCTTACTATACTTTCACCCAGCATTCTGCTAGAGGCAAAAAAAATTGTTGCAAAGAAATGACTCAGCTTGTATTTGTATGACTATCTTATCACATTTTGGTTATGGAACATCCCCACCCAGGAAAGTGCCAATGCATTTGGCTGGCAACTCTGAATGACTGCACTCAGTATAGTCCTTCCCTTTACAGTATTAACTTGCTTTTTTCTTTTTGACAATCACATATTTTTGACATGTTCCCAATGGCATCAGTTCCACAACTGTGCTCTCCACTGTACCCAAGAGGAAAGACCACCATCTGTACACCGACTGTGAAATGTAGCTGTTGTTCTAGATTTTCCATAAACATTCCTAAGCATTCACTCTCTATCAATAACCATATCTTCCTATAAGTTGGTGAATCATGTTCTACCAACCCTACCTGCTATGGCTCTGTTAAAGGCAGGCCATGCTCCTGGGGATTCTTAATAGTCGATTAAAGGTATCAACTGTTCCTGCATTTGTATTGTTTTCATGACCATGTGGCCTTTTCCTGATTTTTTAGATATGCTAGTAAGTAAGTAACTTTGGACATTCAGCATTTCCTTTAACCTCATTTTATCACAGTTCACCAATCTTCGACAGTAATAAATATAGTGACAATCCGTCTGTAAGCCTATAAATATGTTTCTCTGAAAAACATTGTCAGGATGAATTGTTTGTGGGATGCAAAATAACAAAAGGTTGAGAGCTGCTACTATTTCAGTGCATGTAAAGAGGTTTTCAGTGTGGATGGTTTAAAGATATATGAATTTAAGAAAGAAATTACAAAATAGGATAAGAAACTGGTTCTAATCAATGAGAAGTCTCCAAACCTTTCTCTTTGACAGCATCTTCATAAACTACGGTAAGACTATCATCATTAGAGGGACTGTAGCAAAATGCTATTTGGAAGATTTGATGTAACTCACTTTCATTTGGCCTGTCAGATGCCCACTACAATAAAATACAACCTTCCACTGGTATCACTGTTGGCTCCCATCTTCTTCCCAAAGTTTTTGATGAGAATCGAAGGTATTGCTGATACTAATTTAAAGCACCATATTGAGCCCTGGTGTGCAATGAAGAGGATAAATTCTAGTCCAGATAGTATCCTGGCACATTGTCTTTGGTGCATTTCTCCCACATCGCACCACATATTGTGGACTGATTCATGTAGATACCCAGTTTGTGTGTTCTTTCCCATCAGAGAAAGGGGTGGGATTTTGTATATCTGCCATCCACAAGACTGGATATTTATGCCATGAATGATGCAATGGAGAGGACAATATCTCTGGATAAAAGATTGATATTTACTATAGGAATGTTCTTTGGCTTAAATTGATAAATTTGTAGAGGAAGTAGATGATGGTAATAACGATGATGAGAGGAGAATTTCTGTAATATGGATCTCTAACAAGACTTGTAAAATACAATTGCAAATTATTTTAAAATGACAATTAATGAAATATTACCATTAAAACAAATACCAATTGTTATTTCATTACCCAATCTGCAGAATGAGGATGAATGTTAAGAACAGAAGTATGTACAATTTTGACCTGAGTGAATGAAATTTTAACAGCAGCTTTATAATGAAAACAAATATCTCAAATTTGTACAAAGCGCAGTATGAACATCTGCTTCTCTCTTATGAAGTATTACGTGTTATCTTACCAAACATAATATAGTGCATACACTTTTGTCAAGCATATGTATCACAACTAACTACTTACAAGAAACACTGGCAACCATTTTTGGCTGTAAATGAAGACAAAAATAACATAAATATTGCTACCACTGGGAAGTATGTTTAAATTTTCCGTGTGAGTGGCTCTTAGAATATGGTAGGGAGTACCATTTTTGTAGTGGATGATGGGAGTCTCTGATGTGGTCTGAGTCACTGGTCCTACAAAATTCTGGAACTTTGTTTTTCAACATGATGGGAGGGGAGATCTATGACAGGCTAAGTCAAGAGCATGAATATTGACACTAATTTAAAATCCAGACTACTCATTAGCAGAAAAATCTGAGGCTGTGGCTACAAATTGAAAGTGAAAGTTAAAATGATTCTTACAGGAATAAACTGAGCTTTAGAAATCTTTCAGTTACAGAGGATCACTTACAGAACACAAGTTAATGCTTCACAGTTAAGGTCCATCCCCTTGAACCCATGGATAAGTTCAATTAGAGTGGACGTTGGCATTTCAAATGACACTTTTTATGTGTATATTAAATACATTAAGGGAGAAACCATTCATTCTAAATCCTGCTACTAAAATGTTACATTTATTCACTCTTGTTTAATTTTGTGCTCTGTGTAAATGATCCCCCCCCCCAATAAGGCAAGCTGTTCATTTTACAGTAGCTTTCTTTTTGGATATGTTTAGGCATGTTATATGTGCTATGTAAATAGTCCAACTGCATTCAAAAGCACACTTTTCTTAGTGCCTCAACTCCTTCCCCAAGAAACAATAAAAAACTGTGATTAATACATAGATTCTTACAACAGAAGTGTAACTGTTGAGAAGTAGCCGTACAGAACATTTTCCAGATGTTCTGTTTTGATTGTAGCATGCTATCTATCCCATAAACTAAATGTTCGTTGCAGACTCTTTGCACGGTTTTCCAGAGGACAGGGTGTCTATGTCTTTTTGCAGTTTTTCTCTCACACATACTGGTGTTAAAGGAGTGGGTTTTACTTCTACCATGTTGACATTCTTAATTGAAGCATGTCCTTAAGGCCAGGGTGGATCTGAGGGTTAATGACTATGTCCAGTACACACCAAAAGCTGCATTCCCTGCTCCATTGCTAACCTTTGGTTATAAACAAGGCAATCAAATTTTGGCTCTAAAGTTGGGGGAGGGGCTTTCACTTGAGAAAGAAATTGTCATTTGAAAGTGGTCCCTTAATTATTAGGCCTTCTTCTACTCCAGTAGTCATAATTTGTGTGTCTATTCACAGTTTCCTAAATAAGTAAATGACTGCCATTTGCCACTTATGGTAATGATGAGAAACACCGAAGGCTGTTTTAGTAAGCCCCCAGAATGACACCATTAAAAGTCAGCAGCAAACTGGGAAAACACATTAAAATCCCTGCTTGTTTTAAATCCCTCACAATTGCTATACAGTAGCTGTGAGAAGAAACCTGGTTAGTTCCCTAATACGCCTATCATCTTTGAAGACTGGGCTTTATGCTCCCCACTAGTGCTGACAGCTGTAGCTTCATACACTGAGCTTCATAAGGTCCACTCACAGTAACTGAAAGCCAGGTTCCATTCCTCAACCTACGTACCTAAGCTTTATACAGGTTTGTAGGAGACATCGCAGACCCACAAGCTCCAGGCCTCCAGCTATTAGTAGTAAGATATCCTCCCTCTTCCAGGGCCTACTTAAATTCTTCAGCAGCAGCACACAATGGAAAAGCAGATCAAACTTAGAAAACCAGTTTTTTTGAACGATCACTCCCAGACTTTCTCAGCTGCCATTGTCAGAAGACATAAAAACCTGAGATGAAATAGATTCTGTGGTTCTTATATTTGGTTCTCATCTCTACCCTAGGAGTTCTACTCTCAAAAAAGAAGATGGGGAACAAAACCTCTGTGACCTCCCCACACCCCATCTTGTCCTATGGAAAAGTATTTGGTATGACTTAAGAGCTCTTTCACCCAGCTAGGCAGCAGAGAGGAAAATTCTCATTTATTGTGAGAATGAGATCCTGCCAATAAACAAATAAACATAATAAAATAACTTTGAAATCCTCACTTTTCAGGAGGATAGAATATTTCCCAACACTCTCAGGAACAGTGTTCATATTTGCAGGAACAATCCTTTACTCAAATGGAACAGTTGTGCAAATCTGTGATGGCTTCAATGCTGCTTCAGGGACATTTAAGTATCAGGAACATTTGGAGGGTTGGGGGAGGCTGCACATTTTCAAACAAAAAAACAGTCATTTCATGTATCCTCTGTGTTTGGGCATGTGTGTGTTTGTGGTATGGTTGTGGTGGGTTTTTCGGGCTCTTTGGCCATGTTCTGAAGGTTGTTCTTCCTAACGTTTCGCCAGTCTCTGTGGCCGGCATCTTCAGAGGATGCTGGCCACAGAGACTGGTGAAACGTTAGGAAGAACAGCCTTCAGAACATGGCCAAAGAGCCCGAAAAACCCACCACAACCATTAGATCCCGGCTGTGAAAGCTTTCGCGAATACATTGTTTGTGATATGTTTCTCCAATGTTTTTATATAAAGACATTATGCACACCTTCCAGACACAGTGACAGTGTTTTGTTTTGTTTTTTAAAAAAGCACTTTTCCTCCAATTCTCTCTTACAACAATAATAATAACTGAATGCCATCCAGTCGATTCTGACTTATGGCAACCCCTTCCAGGGTTTTCTAGGTAGAGGATAAGTAGCTTATCATTCCCTTCTTCTGAAGGTTGTGCATATTGCCCATGACTGCATAGGCTGGCTGTTTTCTTGGGAGGCACAGTAGGGAATTGAACTCCCAACCTCTGGCTCTGTAGCCGGATACCTAAACCACTAAGCTATTTAGTCATTCTCTTA